GTCAATTGAAATAATTTTTGTAGAACGGTCGGTTCGTCGTGGCCCAAAATATCAACTTTGAGAAATATTTCCGACAAAAAACTATACTCAAAATGAGTCGTCATTCATTCAGACTGGCGGTTATCGGCTGGATAATTCAAGGGAGTGTATTTTTGGATATCCGTGTCTGGCAAAGTAATCAAGAGACCACCCGGATGTTGGCCGGTAGTGCGTTTTATGCCTTTTAGTTCAGCAATAATTTCTTCACGAGGTTTCTCTTTTTCAGCCCGCAATTCTTCCCATAATTTTTTGATTTCCTCGTCCTTCTCGGCAATTCTTTTTTTAATGTTTTCAAGTGATTCAACTTCCATATTTTTTTAAGTGGAGGCACTTCAGCCTTTTTTGCGCTAACCTACAATTTATTTTATACACAAATTTTAATCTCAAAATGTTTTCATTTTAAAAACTTCATTATAAATTATATGGCTTTATGTTCCATCTTAAAACTAATTTTCAACCTTGTGGCGACCAGCCTCGGGCTATTAAAAAAATCGTTGCTGGTATCAATCAAGGGCAAAAAGAACAAGTGCTATTAGGGGCCACCGGCACCGGCAAAACTTTTACCATGGCAAACGTTATCCAACAAACCCAAAAACCTACGCTAATTTTGGCTCATAACAAAACCCTTGCCATGCAAATTTATCAAGAAATGCAAGGATTTTTTCCCCACAATAGGGTGGAATATTATGTTTCTTATTTCGATTATTACCAACCCGAAGCCTACAAGCCAGCAAGTGATATTTATATTGGCAAAAAAGTTCAGCGTAATGCCAGTATTGCCAAGATGAGAATGAAAACCCTAAATGCTTTAATTACTGACAAAAAAGCGATTGTAGTGGCATCCGTAGCCGCCATTTATGGTTGTTTTAATCCCACTTCTTATCGAAAAGTTGTCGTTCATTTAGAAAAAGGACAGCCAATAAAAATTAATTGAATTAGAGAAAAATTGCTCCATTTAGGATACAAGGAGGAGAAAAAAA